ATACTGATAATGATTTAAATACATATAAAGAAATACTAATACAAACTTCAGCACATTTGACACAGGACGATACAAAAATTAAGAAAGTTGGTACAAAATATACACAAATTATTCGCAAGCTATTTCCMTCGGRRWTGGGTGTGAAATTACAAACACATAATTTAGTATATTGGAATGACCCAAATGAGCTGGTTGATAGATTGCGACTTCTTTTAGCCTCTCAATCTGCGGTAAACACTGGGCTTTCAAACGAAATATTATCTATTTTTGAAGAACTGTATGAATCTGGCATAACGAGGAAAATACCAGAAGATGTCAAAACGTGACATAGCAATCGAACTTCACGAACCAGCAAGAAACAATTATAAAAGGCGTAGATTTAATGTTTATGGCAAAAACGATCTATGGCAAGCTGACTTGGTTGAGATGATTCCACTTTCAAAGAAAAACAACGGATATAATTATATCCTCTGTGTGATTGATTGTTTTACGAAAACAAAAACAGGCGGTGAGGTGACCAAAGACATGTCTACAATACTCGTTGATAGATCGCCAAAATTGTTGCAGGTAGATAACGGAAATGAATTTTATAATTTAAAATTTGATACGTTAATGACAAAGTATAATATAAAAAAGTATAGCACATATTCTACGACGAAAGCCTGTTTTGTCGAAAGGTTTAATCGAACTTATCTCACGGTTTAGCGTTGGATTACGGTRATGTGGAGTATGAAAAAATATACAACATATTCCAATCGTTAAAGTTCAACAGGRTTTACGTTAAAGGTCTACAGAAACAACAGATTATCAACGAGTTTATGCCTAACGCCACAGTATTCAACTTGGAAAACTTTGATTGTCCTCGGCTTTGTCAATTGAGTGATGAAACACTACCATGCTGTATTTTTCATATGGATTTTAATCCACAACATTGTAMATTGTATAAAGTATTTGCATTAAAAAAATGGTATGTTAATAATGTTTAAGATTATTACTTTTTTTTCTAMCACGTATACATTATATTTTACATTCTATATACAGTTTAAATTATTTTTTTTTACATTATATACAGTTTATATATAGTTTAAATTATTTTTAACCTAACGAAGACTTCATATTTGTGTGTTTCACTCCTCTTCTTGTCTGCAACATAGATACAATTAGATTATTATTTAATGATATACAGGGTGTAACAGAAAGAACTGACTTTTGGAATAACTTTTGTTCCATTCAATTTTTTTTTATTTTTTTTTTATTTACCATTTATAGACCCTAGCGCTACATATATAATTTATTTTTTATTTTGTTTATTTTTTAGTACTGAAAATAAAAAAATTTAAATTTGATTTAATTTTTTTTTTAAATTTTCAAAATAGCCATTTTGTAAAACTAATTATTAGAAAAATTTCGATGTTGAAATTTTTATTATTGAATAATCCATAAACGAGATATAAGTCCTCAAAGTTATATTAGTTTTTGGAGGTGCTATAT